AGAATGAGTGTGAGGTTTTTTTTTTGTTTGTTTTTTTTGTTTTTTTTTTTGTATGTAGACTTCATTTTTCATAAAAAATGCAGAGGATTTTTTCAATGAACATTAACTAAACTTATACTATAGCAGCACCCAATATGTAGAGTAATTACTGTTTTTCTGATCAGAGAAGCGAAAACAGTGCAGACAGTCCGCCCCAGGGGTTTTGGGCTGAGGGCGATTTGTCATCGATGGAGCTTGGATGCCATCGTGTGGTCAAAATGTGAACCCGCAAGTATTAAAATAAGAGATATTTACACGTGTGGAAACATTGTGTAGCTGAGTGACTTCTTGTATTACTGTGTTTGTGAGGCTACGTAAATAAAATGGAAAATAAATGATAATTATTTTAGAGTAATTACAACAACCAAACCACATCATTTCATACAGTCATTTAGAATTTACAATAAGGAGTCTAATGGTCTTTCTCGGACTTGCCTCTTCACGGTTTGACCACAGGATGGCGGCCAAGCTTCACCAGTGACGTGCATGAGCGCTGTAGCACTTATTTCCTACATAAACCCTCTCATACATAGTAATATGTAGTATATAACACACACACACACACATTTTTGTTTTGTACTGTGGACAATTTTTGACATTTCGCCTTAAAAGAAATGCGATTTAGAAGGCTGTGAAACGCTACTACTAATAATGGTATCGTTCATAGTAACAGTTATAATAATACGAGTGATGTTTATTTCATGGCAGTGTTTGCTTTATGTGTTTTCCTTGATTTCTATCGTGTTGCTGTTTTCTCTGTAGCGTCTGTTGTGCGTGGCTCCGCCTCCCGTGCCTAGTTGGTTCCAACTAGGTCCTGTAGGGGAGCATAACAGGCGCGAACGGTGTAGTAGCCTATCATTGATTCCTTTCGCCTTCACTTGAAAAGAAAGTAAGGTAGGATGTCCGGTAGAGGAAAGGGCGGTAAGGGTCTCGGTAAAGGAGGCGCTAAGCGTCACCGCAAAGTGCTCCGCGATAACATCCAGGGCATCACCAAACCGGCTATCCGCCGTCTGGCTCGCCGTGGCGGCGTCAAGCGTATCTCGGGTCTGATCTACGAGGAGACGCGCGGCGTGCTCAAGGTGTTCCTGGAGAACGTGATCAGGGACGCCGTCACCTACACCGAGCACGCCAAGAGGAAGACCGTCACCGCCATGGATGTGGTTTACGCTCTGAAGCGTCAGGGACGAACCCTGTACGGGTTCGGAGGTTAAACGCTCGACTCGATCAACGATAAACCCAACGGCTCTTTTAAGAGCCCCCCCACACCCCCACCAGAAGAGCTTATGGCCCAATAATAATAATGAAAACACCAAACTTTGCCTCCATAGTGATTTGACCTTTTCAAGACAGAGTGATCTTGATTTAATACCAGAATAACGAGTGGTGGTGAATCTTTAACTGGCTTGAAGGCCCCCTGAACATGTTTAAAATTGTGCTAGCATTTTATTTCATGCACTTTCGTGAGTTTCGTGTTGTGCATTAAAATTGTGTGTTTGTGTGTAAAGAATGGTTTAAAAATCTCGTTATATTTGGAATAAACCTGATAGGGACATCTGTATTGTACGTGATACCAAGTAGCTAAGAAGGCGCGGGAAGGTGAACAAAGGATAAGTCTTTAGCTGGGAGGGGGAGGGGAGGGGAGGGGAGGGGCGGGGCGCTGGGAGGGGGAGGGGCGGGGCGCTGGGAGTTGTCCGCCAAGTGAGCCGTTGATTGTTGTCCAATGATCGTCTGTCTGCATTCAGAAGGGCGGAGCTATAATTTGAATATCGGGGTCTAGATAAGCCGGTGCCGGGCGCTCCTCCTCATTTTTCAGTTGAATTCGAAGAAGAGAAAACGATGCCTGAACCCGCCAAGTCTGCGCCGAAGAAGGGCTCAAAGAAAGCCGTGACCAAGACGGCTGGTAAGGGAGGCAAGAAGCGCAGAAAGTCCAGGAAGGAGAGCTACGCTATCTACGTCTACAAAGTGCTGAAGCAGGTCCACCCCGACACCGGCATTTCCTCCAAGGCGATGGGCATCATGAACTCGTTCGTCAACGACATCTTCGAGCGCATCGCCGGTGAGTCGTCCCGTTTGGCTCATTACAACAAGCGCTCCACCATCACGTCCAGGGAGATCCAGACCGCCGTGCGCCTGCTTCTTCCCGGTGAGCTGGCCAAGCACGCCGTGTCCGAGGGCACCAAGGCCGTCACCAAGTACACCAGCTCCAAGTAAGAAGTGACGCCAACTTCATCAAACCCAACGGCTCTTTTAAGAGCCACCCACGTTTCCGCTTGAAGAGCTTTGTTTCCGTTTTATGAATGTCAAGGCTGGGTGTTTGTTCAGAGGTGGGGAGAAGTTCTGCCCGTAGTTGCTCTGTTGTGTGGATAATGGTACGGCTTGAAGTAAATTAAGTTATATAAATGTATATGTGCATATGCACACATACTCCCATTGAGGTGTATGTATATACGCATGTGTGTGTGTGTGTACATACGTACGTACGTACATACACACATTTGTGTATTTGTATTACAAGAGTTGTTTACTTACATATTCCTTTAATGTTCTGTGTGTTTATGCATTTGAAGGCTTTTGCAGAGTGAAATAAGAGGGCAGTGTGAGTGGTACAAAAGGAACGAGCTAGGGAACTGCATTAAAAATAAAAATTATGGTCAATAAATGAATAAACAAATAATGGTTATATTGCATGTCCTGCAGCAGTATGCTGAAGGTAGAGTGAACTTTTCTCAGTTCATTATTGTTGTTTATGAAATGCATGAAAGTAAAATGAGAGTAAGTTAAAGTCAGTTATATGCTAGGCCTTATTAAGTCTGTAATGTAGATCCAAGCATTAGACTCATAATGCAGTTAGAGTAAGTAAAAGACGATCTTAGGCTAATGCTAAAGTGCCAGCAAGCACAGGTAGGTTAAGAGCTAAGCCGTATGCTATTGCTGCTGGTATAGTAAGCAAAAGTAGTTTTATGTAGTTTTATCACTAAGCCTCTGGCTTCTGAAATAGTCAGAGTAAGTAAAGGTAGCTGTGGAGGGTAAAGCCTTAGGCTTCAGAAAAAGGTAGAGTTAAAGGCTTAAAATGTAGACAGAGTAAAGTAGGTTAGAGAGAGTAGCAGTAGCTATGGAGCTACAATTAAATGATGTCAAAGTAAGCTTAGGGCAGGGCCTCAGGCTTGTGATGGTGTTAGATTCAGTGAACTGAGATGTATAGCGAGCCGTTAGACGTATGATGAAGCTATAAAATTAAAATCAGGTACAGAACTGGGCTTTGTGCTCATGTTGTAGTTAGAGTAGGCCAAATTAGCCTTACAGCTAGGCCTCAAGCTTAACATGTATTTAGAGTAATAGTAAATTTCAAGTTAGGCCTTTTTTGAGGTTTATGGTGAAATTAAAGTTAAAGTAGATTCAGGGCAAGACCTTGACTGTTGCTGAGGCCAGAGTTACCCAACTCTTTCAAACTTTTTGATTTACAAACCATTTTCTCCAACTTTCATGACTCCCTTAAACACCATTATTTCCAAAACCTTACATAGTTTCTTTGATTAGCTTTCATGTCATTATTAACATCATTATTTTTTCATATCAAAAATTATTACATTATTTCCAAACCAAGAAGTAAAATATATTTTTAAAAATAATCATAGGCCAAAGCCACAATCAGACCTAGGCCTTTAAACTTTATTCACTTTTTGTATTACTACAATATAGTTACAACTAAGTCCCTCTATGTATGTGCTTTTCTCCTTCAAAGACATTTTAGTTACTTACTTACATGAAACAAACAGGTTCTTCTCTGTGTGTGTGCCTCTTCTAGATGAGGCCTATTTGGCACACACACACACACACACACACACATGGCTCGATATAATAATCCAGTTGCTATTTGCATTTACATGGATGAGAATAGGAGCGGGAATGGGGTAGAAAAACAGCGACGAAACAGGGACTTTCTTTCTTTGTGTCCTTCTTTGTCTTCATCTCTTTCTCTCTCAGTTCAGTTCAGGTTTACGTTACTAACATGACAAATCTGCATTTGTATTGTTAAAGGGGTTACAAACACACAGGACAGTGAGCGCACGAACAGGAGGGAGGGAGAGTCTCCCGCAAAGTTCTCTCGGGAGACCAGAGAGAGTGAGACAACTTCGCGCTTTACATAGTCAGACAGACGCTGGAAAGGTGAGGAAAATGAGTAAATCAAAATATCCCTGGGCTCTGCTGGACTTATAATTTTCTCATTTAAATTAATTGTAAGTTTGTGTATTATTGTATTTTAGATGGATTTGTTGTGTTTGTGTGTACAATGGTATTCACGTGACTTTGTATTGTTCTTTTGATATGTATGTAATTGAAATATTTAATAAAGTTTATTTAAAAAGGAAAATGAGTGACAGGAAACGGAGTAAAGTTTGGACACTTTTTAATGTGATAGACACTTCAAAGGCGGAGTGTAGACTGTGCAAAGTTAAGTGATGTTTTGTTGATGTTGTGTTGTTTCACTGTACAAATTAACAAATAATATACACAATCAGAAATTGGACCTTTTTGTCTGATTTAGATGGGTCTTTGATTTTTGTGTTTTATAATTTATTTTTGTAGCACTCTTTTTCATGTTGAGTATTTAAATAAAGCCATATAAAAATAAATATTTGATATAATGTGTTTTTACATTAGTAATTCACTTTACACATAATTTGGTAATAAATTAATTTAAGCAACAAAAAATCTGAGGAGCCATTTGGGAGCCGAAAGAGCCGGCTGTTTTTAGTGAGCCGAGCCAAAAGAACCGGCTCTCTAAAAAGAGCCGGAATTCCCATCACTAAGTGACACTCGTACATATCTGGCTGCAGTGGACACTGATGGACCTCCTGATATGATTAATAATTCACTTTTATCTTCCAAAGTATTTTACGTATTTTATCTCTCTCTATTTCTTTCTCTCTCACGCACACACACGCGCGCGGGGAGAGAGAGAAGCAGAGGGCTTGGAGAGGAACGGTGGGCGGACCCTAAACTTTGACGACGCTAATATTATTGGTTGTTGAAGGTCATGGCATTTTAGCCAATAGAAACGTAGCAGCTTTGCCTTTATGAAGGGCGATCGGGAAGAGTTGTTCTTCATTTCAGTTTCATTTGAAGCACTGAAGAGAATTGAAAAATGAGTGGAAGAGGGAAAACTGGAGGTAAAGTTAGGGCCAAAGCCAAGACTCGCTCCTCCCGCGCCGGGCTGCAGTTCCCGGTGGGCCGTGTTCACAGGCTTCTGCGTAAAGGTAATTATGCCGAGCGCGTCGGCGCCGGCGCTCCCGTCTACTTGGCTGCTGTGTTGGAGTATCTGACCGCTGAGATCCTTGAGTTGGCCGGTAACGCCGCTCGCGACAACAAGAAGACCCGTATCATTCCTCGTCATCTGCAGCTGGCTGTTCGTAACGATGAGGAGCTCAACAAACTGCTCGGAGGAGTGACCATCGCTCAGGGTGGCGTGCTGCCCAACATTCAGGCTGTACTGCTGCCCAAAAAGACCGAGAAGGCGGCTAAGACCAAATAAACGTTTTTCTTTTTCCTGTTAAATGGTAAACAACCAAAGGCTCTTTTAAGAGCCACCCACCTTAACAACAAAAGTGCGGTTTTCTATTTCTTTATCTCTCCTCATGCAAAAAAGCGGCGGTCTATCGATTGTTACAGGTTGTGTACATTGGGATAAAATAAAAGAATCAAAGCATCACCACGTCCCACGATTGAATACTGAATAGAACTTAAAAGCTCTTATTCTACTCGAACACAAGACGAATAAACAGACCTGGACGTCTGTATAACTATGCGAGTGAAATAACAGGCGTGTAATAATGAATGAACCAAAAATCTGAGTTACACACCGGAGGTGTAAAAAAAAAAAGAATGTGGTTCAGAAGCCCGCCAAGGCGTTGGGGAGTGTCTTGTTACTTGAAAATGTGCGCGTGGCAAACGACGCCCAATAGCGTTTAGCCAACGCGTGGGCAGCCGTCCAATGGAAGACGGGCACATTCAAGACGTCCAATGAGCTGCGCGCAGCTCGAACCCTTAAAACGGCCGAGATATGCGCGCGAAGTTATTATACTTCTTTGTTAGAGAAGAATAGAGTTTGACAACATGGCAAGAACCAAGCAGACCGCCCGTCCAAAAGTGCAAAAAGTGCAAAAGTGCAGTTTTCTTTTTCCCATGTTTGTTTTATTTTATTTTTTTTAAATCGATTGTTACAGAACATCGTGTGTACAATAAGAAGGATCATAGCATCACCCCACGTCCCATGATTGAACACTGAATAAAATGTAGAATATCTTACTCTAACACAAGGCGAATAAACTTACATAAACATCTTCATAACTACGCGAGTGAAGGTGAAATAGCAGGTGTGTAATAATGAATGAACCAAAAATCTGAGAAACATTACACCGGACATGTAAGAAAATAACAATGTGTTTCAGGAGCCCGCCAAGGCTTTGGGGCAGTGTCTTGTGATTTAAAAATGTTGACGCCCAATAGCGTTTTGCCAACGCGGGAGGAGTCGTCCATTGGGGAAGGCGGGCACATCCAAGACGCCCAATGAGCTGCGAGCAACTCTAATACTTTTAAGGACCGAGATGTGCGCGCGAAGTTATTCAATTTCTTTGCTAGAGAAGAGTAGAATTTGACAGCATGGCAAGAACCAAGCAGACCGCCCGTAAGTCCACCGGTGGCAAAGCCCCGAGAAAGCAGCTGGCTACTAAAGCTGCTCGTAAGAGCGCTCCGGCCACCGGCGGCGTCAAGAAGCCTCACCGTTACAGGCCCGGTACCGTGGCTCTGAGGGAGATCCGCCGCTACCAGAAATCCACAGAGCTGCTGATCCGCAAGCTGCCCTTCCAGCGCCTGGTGCGGGAGATCGCTCAGGACTTCAAGACCGATCTCCGCTTCCAGAGCTCTGCCGTCATGGCCCTGCAGGAGGCTAGCGAGGCGTACTTGGTGGGTCTGTTCGAGGACACTAACCTGTGCGCCATCCACGCCAAGAGAGTCACCATCATGCCTAAGGACATCCAGCTGGCCCGCCGTATCCGCGGAGAGCGCGCATAAATTAAACGGCGCGCTCCCAGGTTTCCCCAAAACACCCCAAAGGCTCTTTTAAGAGCCACCTAACTGTTTCAGTCCAGAAGAGTAACTGTCCCAGTCAACCCGAGTTCATTTACGTGCTGTGACTGTGTGAGGAGTGTCCGTAGTGTAGGGAAGTAGTTGAATGATGTGTGCAATACGGACATGTGACACTGGCTTTCTGCCAAGAACTAAACAATAAACAATAATGAACTGAGAAAAGTTCACTCTACCTTCAGCATACTGCTGCAGGACATGCAATATAACCATTATTTGTTTATTCATTTATTGACCATAATTTTTATTTTTAATGCAGTTCCCTAGCTTGTTCCTTTTGTACCACTCACACTGCCCTCTTATTTCACTCTGCAAAAGCCTTCAAATGCATAAACACACAGAACATTAAAGGAATATGTAAGTAAACAACTCTTGTAATACAAATACACAAATGTGTGTATGTATGTACGTATGTACACACACACACACACACACACACACACACACACACACACACACATGCGTATATACATACACCTCAATGGGAGTATGTGTGCATATGCACATATACATTTATATAACTTAATTTACTTCAAGCCGTACCATTATCCACACAACAGAGCAACTACGGGCAGAATAAGTAACTACCGGGGAAAACCGACTGGAATGCGGCACAACCCTAGCTTACACTTTCTCCCCACCTCTGAACAAACACCCAGCCTTGACATTCATAAAACGGAAACAAAGCTCTTCAAGCGGAAACGTGGGTGGCTCTTAAAAGAGCCGTTGGGTTTGATGAAGTTGGCGTCACTTCTTACTTGGAGCTGGTGTACTTGGTGACGGCCTTGGTGCCCTCGGACACGGCGTGCTTGGCCAGCTCACCGGGAAGAAGCAGGCGCACGGCGGTCTGGATCTCCCTGGACGTGATGGTGGAGCGCTTGTTGTAATGAGCCAAACGGGACGACTCACCGGCGATGCGCTCGAAGATGTCGTTGACGAACGAGTTCATGATGCCCATCGCCTTGGAGGAAATGCCGGTGTCGGGGTGAACCTGCTTCAGCACTTTGTAGACGTAGATAGCGTAGCTCTCCTTCCTGGACTTTCTGCGCTTCTTGCCTCCCTTACCAGCCGTCTTGGTCACGGCTTTCTTGGAGCCCTTCTTCGGCGCAGACTTGGCGGGTTCAGGCATCGTTTTCTCTTCTTCGAATTCAACTGAAAAATGAGGAGGAGCGCCCGGCACCGGCTTATCTAGACCCCGATATTCAAATTATAGCTCCGCCCTTCTGAATGCAGACAGACGATCATTGGACAACAATCAATGGCTCACTTGGCGGACAACTCCCAGCGCCCCGCCCCTCCCCTCCCCCTCCCCTCCCCCTCCCAGCTAAAGACTTATCCTTTGTTCACCTTCCCGCGCCTTCTTAGCTACTTGGTATCACGTACAATACAGATGTCCCTATCAGGTTTATTCCAAATATAACGAGATTTTTAAACCATTCTTTACACACAAACACACAATTTTAATGCACAACACGAAACTCACGAAAGTGCATGAAATAAAATGCTAGCACAATTTTAAACATGTTCAGGGGGCCTTCAAGCCAGTTAAAGATTCACCACCACTCGTTATTATGGTATTAAATCAAGGTCACTCTGTCTTGAAAAGGTCAAATCACTATGGAGGCAAAGTTTGGTGTTTTCATTATTATTGGGCCATAAGCTCTTCTGGTGGGGGTGTGGGGGGGCTCTTAAAAGAGCCGTTGGGTTTATCGTTGTTCGAGTCGAGCGTTTAACCTCCGAAGCCGTACAGGGTTCGTCCCTGACGCTTCAGAGCATAAACCACATCCATGGCGGTGACGGTCTTTCTCTTGGCGTGCTCGGTGTAGGTGACGGCGTCCCTGATCACGTTCTCCAGGAACACCTTGAGCACGCCGCGCGTCTCCTCGTAGATCAGACCCGAGATACGCTTGACGCCGCCACGGCGAGCCAGACGGCGGATAGCCGGTTTGGTGATGCCCTGGATGTTATCGCGGAGCACTTTGCGGTGACGCTTAGCGCCTCCTTTACCGAGACCCTTACCGCCCTTTCCTCTACCGGACATCCTACCTTACTTTCTTTTCAAGTGAAGGAGAAAGGAATCAATGATAGGCTACTACACCGTTCGCGCCTGTTATGCTCCCCTACAGGACCTATTTGGAACCAACTAGGCACGGGAGGTGGAGCCACGCACAACAGACGCTACAGAGAAAACAGCAACACGATAGAAATCAACGAAAACACACAAAGCAAACACTGCCATGAAATAAACATCACTCGTATTATTATAACTGTTACTATGAACGATACCATTATTAGTAGTAGCGTTTCACAGCCTTCTAAATCGCATATCGTTTTAAAAATTGTCAAAAACTGTCCAAAGTACAAAAGTAAACAGAACAAGAAAGAAAGAAAGAAAGAAAGAAAGAATGAATTTTGTCAATTGTAATACAGCTCATCTTAATTTAAGAAAAAAAAAAGCACAATTACGAGTCAAAGTGGGCTCGTCTAGGCTGGTCTAAATGTAAAGAAACACACCGTAATGGAGTGAGAGGTCTGTAAGAATAATATAATACCAAAACACATGAAAATGCGTGTGTATTATATGCAGCATAATAATATTAATGAGAAATTATTTTAATTTTCTGTTCTTATTAGCCCGTTTCACGCTGAGATGAACTACAGTCCCCACCATGCACTGTAACATAGTGTGCGTTCTGACTCCCTTCCCCCAGGAATAATCTCAGGGCCAGCAGTTCCACAAAAAGAAAAGATCCCTGGTGTCCAGTTCAAACAAACTCCTCTCAAGGTTTCTTCCTTGATCGGCTCAGAGAGAGTTTTGCTTGATACTGTTGCCCTAAGCGTGCTCACTGGGGGCTTGAGTCCAGGGGAAATGTCCTTCTTCAGATTAGAGGTCACACCAGGGCCAATCAGAGAAGGAAACTGCAGCTAATATTCATGTGTGGCATGAACTGACCTGTCCATGCTCCGCCCTGATGCTGGTTTGGTCCACAGAACTCTACAGAACAATGTAAATAATCTCATTCGACCTAATGAGAAACTGCAGTGCACAGCTCAGTTTGGTCAAAATACCTAAATTTGGAGTGAGTTATTAATTTAAAATCATATAAATTTTGCAGGAATTCAGAATAATATCTGATACAACAACAACACAAAGTTTTAGAATTTTGTAAAGCTGCAAATTTATGACAACAAAAGTGAAGAAACAGTTAAGATTCTTCACTATTTGTAGAGTTGGAGGGGAGGCAGGGAACTGTGACAGAACCCCACCATCTAACGCCCTCAGTTCACCGTCTATGCCCTCACCTACGTCCCGGGCCTCCTCGCCAGGCTCTTCGCACTGCAGTCCTGGCTCCACGGCTGTTGCGCCCTCAACGGCTTGGGCTACGTGGACAACTGGGCCTCGTTTTGGGAACAGCCAGCGCTCTACCGGAGGGATGGCCTCCACCCTAGTCGTCTGGGATCTGTTGCCATCCGCTGACTCCAGAGTGAAGGCCACGTAAGTAGCGTCAAAAATAGAAATGCTACAGCTCATAATGCTAGTGTTACTGCTGAATATAAGGCGATTGCCAGCATTTATACTGTAAATAAGGCAAGTGCTGATACAAATACTTATTCTATAAATACAAATGCTCATAGGTTCCTCCCAATAGAGGCTGTGTCTGTTCCCCGAATAAAACAAAGCAATTAAAAGCCTTGAAAAGTTTGCTTCAGTAACTTGATTAATATCAGACCAGTTATACCAGTTTGCAGTGACAGCAACTTTGGTCTAAAACTAGGACTGCTTAATATAAGATCCCTCACATCTAAAGCCGTTGTTGTAAATGAAATTATTACCGATCACGGTTTTGATGCTCTGTGTCTCACAGAAACATGGATTAGACCCGATGACTTATTTGGTCTAAACAAAGCCACCCTCCCAGGGTGCCACTGCTCGCTGTGCAAACCTCACCCTCACAACCTGACCCCACTGATGCTGTCGCTGCTGCTGTCGCTGCTGCTGCATGAACTAAACTAATCAAATTAATCATTGCTCCACCTGTTTTCCCTGTTTTTTGTACTAACAATGTTTACTATCCGGTGTCGACCAGAGGAGGATGGGTTCCCCTTCTGAGTCTTGGTTCCTCTGAAGGTTTCTTCCTGTTTCTCTTAGGGAGTTTTTCCACTGGCGACGCTCATGGGGGCTCGGACCTGGATTTCTGTCTGTAATGCTGATTTCCTTGTAAAGCTGCTTTGTGACAACACCTGTTGTAAAAAGCACTATATAAATAAACTTTGCTTGCTTGCCGAGCCAAATTCTCTTCTTTTGAAGTTCTTTTTCTTAATATAAGTGATCAAGGAACAAATAAAAATTCCTTTTCACTAGTTACAATTTACAGACTGCCAGGTCCGAATTCTCGGTTCTTACAGGAAGAGTTTCTATCAAGTCTAATAACGCTTTCAAATAAAATAATAGTTGTTGGAGATTTTAATACCCACTTTGACAATCCTCAAGATGCACTAAGCAAGGCATTTATATCTATCAGACTCCATAGGTTTCACCCAATTCATAAAGGGGTCCACACACTACCACAACCACACTCTAGACTTAATACTGACCTTTGGTGTAAACATAGATAACTTAGCCATTCTCCCCCAGAGCACAGCAGTCTCTGACCATTACTTAATCTCATACAAAATTCACTTCAGTAGTAATGTGCATTCATCACCATGTTATCATGTCAAGCGGACAATAACTCCCTCCACAGCTGGTAGCTTTATCAGAAACTTTCAATTATCAGCTTCTGTCAGCTGTCCATCAGATTCTACTGAGTTAGATATTATGACCAAGCTCTTAGAGGATCATTTTCGATCTACTCTAGATAGTGTGGCTCCATTAAAAAGTAAAATAGTAAGGCAGAAAAAACTCGCCCCTTGGTATAATGACAACACTCGGGCTTTAAAACAGAACGCCAGACAACTTGAGCGAAAATGGCGCCTCACTAAGCTAGAAGTGTTCCAGTCCGCCTGGAAGGAGAGCCTTATAGACTATAGAAGAGCACTTGCTACAGCACGCTCAGCCTCTCTCTCCTCTCTCATAGAAAGCAATAAGAATAATCCTAGATTACTTTTCAGCACAATCTCTAAACTAACCGAGAACTAAACAGTTAGTGAACCCCAGATGCCATCAGCCTATAGCAGCAACGATTTTATGAACTTCTTTAGTGATAAAATTGAAAGAATTCATCAGAAAATTCAGAATACGCAATTAAACTCTACAAACCTGCCTCCCCTTAATGCCAGCCTCAACCTTGAAAATATTATAATCACCGCAGAGAGGCTGGAATCATTTACCTTACTTCAAGAAAATGAACTAGTTAAAATAGTTTCTTCCGCAAAATCATCTACCTGTATGTTAGATCTGATTCCTACAGGTTTACTCAAGGAAATTTGCCAGAAATACCAAGCCTATTCTCTCAACAATAAACTCCTCTCTTAGCCTCGGGTACATCCCAAAATCTCTCAAACTAGCAGTAATTAGACTCTGATTAAGAAAGCTAACCTTGATCCCTGCGACCTATCAAATTATAGACCCATCTCGAATCTCCCCTTTATATCTAAGATCTTGGAAAAAATTGTAGCAAAACAATTAAGCTCCTTTTTGCATAGGAATGAAATACATGAAACATTTCAATCTGGCTCTAGGCCACATCATAGTACAGAGACAGCACTAGTAAAAATTGTAAATGATCTGTTATTATTTTCTGACCAAGAAAATGTGTCTCTGTTAGTCCTCCTCGATCTTAGTGCGGCATTTGACACAATAGACCACGCTGTCCTACTAGACAGACTAGAAAACCTTGTAGGAGTAACAGGAACAGCTCTTTCCTGGTTCGGGTCCTACCTCACTGATCGCTATCAGTTTGTTAATATAAACGGTGAATCATCTGTTCTCACAAAAGTAAAGTATGGTGTTCCACAAGGCTCTGTTTTAGGACCTGTATTATTCACATCAAATATGCTACCACTGGGCACCATTATCAGTAAACACGGCATTAATTTCCACTGCTATGCTGATGACACTCAGTTATATTTAGCAAGCGACCCAGATGATAAAATTAAACTTGTTAAGATTGAAGACTGTATAAAAGGACTGGATGTCGAGTAACTTTCTCCTTCTAAACTCGGATAAAACAGAGGTTCTGCTTCTTGGTCCAAAAGCTGCTAGAAA